AACGGAAGCTTATGAAGGTAGAAGAAATACTTCAGCAAAAAAGCAGGTTGGAAAAGAATGTTCCATCCCGGTGAAGCAGATATCACATAGTTTTAGCCAAATAGGTGAAGATCGTGGGCGTCGAAAGGTCAGTCTTGTTATTACGTCATTCTTGTCCTAGCCCTTTCTTAGAGGGGCAGATATCACATAGTTTCTTGTCTTAGCACTTTCTTATATACTTGAGTTGAAGACTTGCAAACTGACTAGATCTACTATGCTTGTTATATCTATCTTAAAGGCTGTGAAGACTCCATCTAGTTATGGTGGGAATGAACTGACTAGATTTAGTGATCCTCCTGGGGATGCTTGTTTGCATGATTTGTTTCATCCATTGGATAAAGTTCATGAGGGAAAACCAAGTGAAGCCTCAACATCGACGCCAACTTCAAATGTCAATCAGGGTGATTCTCCTGTCGCAGATGGTGGAAAGAATGATCTTGCAACAAAATTGAGGGCTAGAATTGCTCAGAAGCAAATGGAGGGTGAAACGGGGCATTCAAATGACGGTGGTGATCTTTTCCGCTTAATGATGGGTGTTTTGAAAGATGATGTTATTGACATTGATGGCTTGGTATGCTCTGTCTCAAGTATGCAGGTTTGATAATTCAAGTAATATATACTTCTAACATATTCTCATATCTTGTTTCTTAGGTATTTGATGAAAAAGTGCCCGCGGAGAATCTTTTTCCCCTGCAGGTATTCTACAAATTTATATCATGCTAATTGACCTGCTCACTTCATGTTCTGAGAGTGAATTTAGCAAATAAATGTCGAAAAGGAACTGTGGCTTTTCAATTCAGTTTTAGTTGTTTCCACTTTTTGGCGATTCCAAATCTTAGTATTAATTGGTTAAGTTCTTAAAGGCAGTCGAGTTCAGCAGATTGGTGAGCTTCTTAAGGCCAGATGAATCAGAAGATGCAATAGTAACATCCTGTCAGAAACTTGTGGCCATGTTTCGTCAGAGACCTGAGCAGAAAGCAGTATTTGTGACACAGCATGGTTTCCTCCCTTTAATGGATCTACTTGATATTCCTAAATCTCGAGTATGTTTATTTGTAATGAAGCAGGAGTTTATGTTGTCTTTCGTCATCAGTAGTTGTCAGTTCGATGTGAATACCGACTGGCTTATGCTTGTCAATCTTTTCCTGGTGTTGCTAGGTAGTATGTGCCGTGCTGCAGCTGATAAACGAAATCATAAAAGATAACACTGAGTTCCAGGAAAATGCTTGTCTCGTTGGTCTCGTAAGTCTTACTTTCCATTTGGTTGCTGACTTGGTGAATCACCAGTAGTTCCTTGGTATAGTTGGATCGATTTGCAAAAACAAATTCTATCAAAGACTCGTATTGTCTATATTTCTATCGTAAATGTCAAACATCCATGGAAAATGTGTTGATAATTGATCCATGGTGTCGTTTTCTCATCACTTAAGTTTTCATGATGAAGTAGTCAACTCTGTTTCCTTTGACGTGACAAAAAAAAATCACTTGAAAATTGATTATTCTAAGTGAAATGGCAGATTCCTGTGGTTATCAGTTTTGCTGGTTCTGAGAGGGAGCGTTCTCGAGAAATTCGTAAAGAAGCAGCGTACTTCTTGCAGCAGCTTTGTCAGTCAAGGTTACGAGTCATCAAATATTTACTATTTTGCTTCTTTTTTTTTTTTGTAAGTCATTGATTTGATTTGGTAGCTTCTTTACAGCTCCTTAACATTGCAAATGTTCATAGCTTGCCGTGGAATACCCGTTTTGGTCGGATTTCTTGAAGCTGATTATGCGAAATACAGGTGGGCTCAGTTTCTTCTATTGAAAACTGATGGTATATTTCTCAATAGCTGACCATTTTCTTGATTTAACTCATCTCTCTTGAATCATTTCTGGTCCTTTTCGCTCTTTATATGCTACTAAATGCTACTGATTTGAGTTTCTCTATGCAGGGAGATGGTTCACTTAGCTATTGATGGGATGTGGCAGGTATTTAAACTCAAAAGATCCAGCCCGAGAAATGATTTCTGCCGTATAGCTGCAAAGAATGGAATTCTTCTTAGGTTGATCAACACTCTTTATAGCTTGAATGAGGCAACTCGACTGGCTTCTATGTCAGGGATTGTGGATGATCAAACTCCACGAGCACGCTCTGGTCAACTTGACTATAACAATCCTATTTTTAGCCACCATGAGACTTCATTCAGTGTGATTAATCATCCTGATGTATTGACAACTAGGCATGGGGGTGGTGAAGAGCCTTCTCATGCTTCAGTTTCAAGTTCTCAAAGATTTGATATCCATCAACCAGAACTAGATGGTGATAGGCCTAGATTAAGCAGTGTTGCACCAGACGTAACAGACGATGTTAGACAACAACATAGGATATCTCTGTCTGCCAACAGAACATCGACGGATAAGCTTCAGAAACTGGCGGAAGGTGCGTTTAATGGTTTTCCTGTTACTCAGCCAGAACAAGTCCGGCCTTTGCTTAGCTTATTGGAGAAAGAACCCCCTTCACGACATTTTTCTGGCCAACTGGATTACGTAAAGCACATCACTGGCATGGATAGACATGAAAGTAGACTACCTCTTTTGCATGCGTCAAGCGAAAAGAAAACCAATGGAGACCTAGATTTTCTGAGGGCCGAATTTGCAGGTAATTTTCAAGGTTCTACATTTAGCAAGATTTTTCATACTGCAAGCACATATATGAATTTTTGTTTCTTTGCGCTTCGTCATTATCTTGTTTCTTCAGAGGTTTCTGGACGTGGAAAGGAAAACGGAAATGTTGATACTACGCCTAGATATTCCTGTAGAACGATGACAAAGAAGGTTATGGCTATCGAAGGAGTCGCTTCTACGTCTGGGATTGCATCTCGGACAGCATCTGGTGTACTGTCAGGTTCGGGTGTTCTAAATGCTAGACCTGGAAGTGCCTCATCATCTGGTGTACTTGCCCATATGGTCTCTACGCTTAGTGCAGATGTCGCAAGGGAATACTTGGAGAAAGTGGCTGATCTGCTTCTCGAATTTGCTCGAGCTGAAACAACGGTAAAATCATACATGTGCAGCCAAAGCTTACTCAGTCGTCTTTTCCAGATGTTCAACCGTGTAGAGCCTCCTATTCTGTTAAAGGTACTTCAAAATATTATGAATGCTTCCTATAATTTTTCTGTTTTCTCTCTGGCAAAGCTCGGATATGTGATTTAGAGGATATTCGCATACTTACAATGCCTTTTGTTTGTCCAGATACTGCAGTGCACCAATCATTTATCCACTGATCCGAATTGCTTGGAGAATCTTCAGCGTGCAGACGCAATTAAGCACTTGATTCCCAACCTTGAGCTTAAGGATGGGAATCTTGTTGATCAGATCCATCATGAGGTTACCTTCTTGACTTGAATAGAGCAAGTTTTTGTCTGTCCGTTAAAACTTGGTTTTCAATATGCTGTTTGAAAGATTGAAGTTTGGATTCTTGTTCTAGTGTCTATATTATCCGTTGACGTTTCTAAAATTTTAATTTTATGTAGGTACTTTGTGCACTATTCAACCTGTGCAAGATAAACAAGAGGAGGCAGGAACAAGCGGCTGAAAACGGAATCATACCGCACCTGTTGCTTTTCATCATGTCGGATTCTCCTCTGAAACAATATGCATTGCCACTACTATGTGATATGGCGCATGCATCTCGGAATTCAAGAGAGCAGTTAAGGGCCCATGGCGGTCTGGATGTTTACCTGAGTTTGCTCGATGATGAATATTGGTCCGTGGTAGCCTTAGATTCAATTGCTGTTTGCTTGGCGCAAGACAATGACAACCGCAAGGTGGAGCAGGCGTTGCTCAAGAAAGACGCAATTCAGAAGTTGGTTAACTTCTTCCAGAGCTGTCCAGAGAGACATTTTGTGCACATATTGGAGCCATTCTTGAAGATTACCACGTATGTATCTCTCCCCTTTATAAAAGATTGATTATCTTTCGAAAATGTTCTTAAAAAATCATGACAAAGTTAGAAGAACTATTAGTGAAGTCTAATTCTTCTCATTGTTGAATCCAGGAAATCATCTCGAATCAATACGACATTAGCTGTAAATGGATTGACTCCGTTACTTATTTCAAGACTAGACCACCAAGATGCGATTGCTCGACTTAACCTCCTGAAACTCATAAAGGTAATGGATCATTTGACTGTCCAAGTTCTTGCTTGTCTTGTTCGGGGTGTCTGAGTGTGTGATTATTGAAACAGGCTGTTTACGAGCACCATCCAAGGCCAAAACAGCTGATCGTAGAGAACAATCTACCTCAGAAACTGCAGAATCTGATAGAAGAACGGCGTGATGGACAACGTTCAGGAGGACAAGTTCTGGTGAAGCAAATGGCAACATCTCTCCTCAAAGCACTTCACATCAACACCGTCTTGTGACTGTACATTTACTCCCATCTTTGCACCCCAAAGTGTATACCTTCTTCTTTCTCCATTTACAACATAATTTGTAATTGTTGGCTTGTGTTGCTCTCTTGTGTTTTTTTAGTCCCTCGAGAGATGCCAACACTTCTCATTTTTGTAATATATACCTCAAACAAAGTATTTTTTTATTTTCGTATTTTGACGTGATCTGAACGAAAGAAGCTAGTTTGTAATACCATAAAAGAAGAATACATTTACTAGCGTAATTTTTTTTTCGAAATAGTATTTGGTCGAGTACAACTCTAGAAGTAAGACCTACTTCAAAAATTTCAGAAATCGATGACATTTGTTCCACTTCTAACCAATATCAAATACCCTAATTACAACCTTACAATCCCACTTCATCAACTAATCTCCATAAAGATCTATAAACAGTTACTACAATTTTTAACCTTGGAC